ACAAATGTCACAGCACACAGAGCTTTGCGACTTGTGTTCATCTGCACTTAACGAGAGTCAATGACCACTAATAATAGAGACACGTGGACAATTATGGGCATAGACAGGGAAACAAAACCGAAAACTTTGGCTGTGCCAGCAGCCTTTGCAGAACAAGACATATCTTCACAGAACAGTAATGAGATCCTGCAAGCTTGAGGGGGAGTGGGATAGGGAGGGACCTCTATTCTGATTAAGCAAGAGCACTGGTGTTGCCCCATATCTTTTACTGGAAAGAGGCTGAAGGGAGGAAAAAGCACATTCAGATCTGAAAAAGTGATCGTTAAATGAAGAGCCATAGCTCCAGAAGGAAGCTGGGGGTATGGGGAGGGAATCAGGCAAATCAGAGAAATGTCACTGCTCACAGGGGCTGCTACAATCAAATCCATTTGTCACACAGAAGGCAGGAATTTAGCCACACTGTCCTGCTGAGGTCACATCACACTGCCGTGCCAGTTCATAGTATTCCCCTTTAATCTCCGCTCTCCTCCAGCTCTGGATTAGTCCCAGGCCCCATTCTGGCAGATATCCCAGGGCGCAATGAGCTGTCACTCCGCCCCGTGCCCCGAAACCATTCTTGCAGCGCACTGTCGGACAACTGCTCAAATCCAGACACGGTGCCAGGATACCTCCCTCTCCAGAGCCTCTCTGTGTGCATTACTGGATTCTGACACGTCGTCCCAAACATAAGCAGATGTCTCTGGCCTTGTTCACTGTCAAACTGGAAAACAGGGTTAAGACCGTGGCAGTGCAGTTACAGAAGAGACAGAGGAATCACACAACGAAGCCATGCGTTATCTCTGACGGATATTTAACCCAGGTATCTTTCATGACACTCCTCCCACAAAATTTATGAGGGCTGAGATATTGTTAAACATTCTGGAGAACTGCTTACCATGACCACAAATCCTGTCACTGAGAACATATGTGGAATAAAGAACGTTAATGCAAAATACGTAAAGCTAACACAGACTAAGTGCCCAGGCCCTGAACGTCCTCTGCCTTCCCGAGGAGGGCAAAACCTTCTATGCGAGGTTTCCAAGGTTCAGATCAGCTCTTGCAGATCCAAAGCTGTCTTAGCTCCCGAGACAACTGATCATTTTCCACCAGCAAACAAAAGCTGGTGCCATCTTCAAGAAACACATGCAGGTGCAGAAGTTGGAGCTCCCAAGTTCTCTGGCACCTCAGCCCCTCATGCTGCCCTGGATAAGTCACCAACCTGCTCAATCCACACTCCCCAATTAGAGAACTGGGGAGACACTTGTTCCTTTTATTCCTGTCGCTGTATCATTCCTGACCACAATGCCTTATTTCCTGATTCTTTTTGCTTGCATGGCAATAACTGCCCTCGAAAGTGCTGGGAAACTGGTGAGAAGAGTGGAGAGTTGGGCCCGTGGCACACAGTGTTTCCAGGAACATGGGGCAGGCAGTAGGCCACGAGCACGCAATTCTTCACTTCCAGTCAGATACCCGACCTTTGGCACCAGCGAGTTAATGGGGATTTAATCAAACACAGCAGCAGTCCCTCCCGTGGCCTGGGACACAAGAGGGCTTTTTCTTGGGAAGCAGTTCAGCAATACTGTCTTTCTGTGCTGTCTTACTGAAAAAGAACCAGCTCTGTCTTTCCAGAACATCAGGGTACAATCACAGCCCTTTCATAAAGAGAAGATGCAGACGAAAACAAAACCAGGGCTTATAAAACCGAGGGTCAAGCACGAGGAAAACACATGATAAGACTCTCCTTCTGTAGCATCAGACTATTATTTTTCTTTATGAATAACTAAAGAGCACCACTTATCTCTGGAGAAAGCTTATCTACTCTTTCCTCACATGGCTGCCTGTCCTGGCTGGGGAATCACTGCTATTTGTTTAACACTGACAAAGATGTCCTTGGGATTTAATACTTTTGTGCAAGGCCAGTGCTCGGTGGAGGGTAAAAAAAAAAACAAACCAAACCTGAGGTTCTGTTAACAATAAGACAGACAAAATACCCTTTTCAGCAGAGAGACCGTCATTCCCAGGTATTTTCAGTAAGCTGCTGGCTGCTAAAAGCCAATGCTGGCCAGGACCACCACACAGAGGCACTGTTTGTCCTCAGGAAGGGGCAAAGCAGGACAGGTGGCCAAGGACATCCCAGGCCAGCAGAGATGGTAGGGGCGCGAGAAGCTTCTCGGCAGGACACAGCTGCCCCCAGTCCCACTTCAGCCTGGCAGAGGGGGATGGAAACTCCAGGGAAATCACAGGGATGGGTTTTGACGCTAATAACAATGGGCAGAAAAAAGGTCCACCAATGGGAGGAGGTTCTTTCTTCCTCTTATTCGAATAAACCAGAAGGTTTTCCACACAGAAAGTTTCAGGTGTTTTATGTTTTACATTATTGCTTTTGATTTAAATGGTGGGGGGCTAGCTCTAAAAAGGGGAGTCCCTCAGCTCTGCATTAGGTTCTAAAAGCAGATCTTGGAAATGGCTGTGACAAAGCAAGCGATTTATAAATCCTCGCTCACAGCCTGAGCCCTTCTGTCTGAGGACAGCTCTGATCAGCCCCTGCATCACTTTCCCCACAACAGCCAAAGACATTGTCCCTCTGCAATGGCGTGGAGCAAACAGACACAGGAAGGACGTACCTCGAATCTCAAGGGGGTCCAGCACAGGTGCTACAATAGGGAGGTGGGGATATGTCCTCACTGGCAGCCTGGAAGAGCACAGAAGCAGGGGGAGCACCTCTCCGTGTGGTGTCAGGCGCAAAGGAGAGAATAAGCTGTGCTTCATAAAGACACGTTACAGCAAGGAGGCTTCCTGCACACTGAAGGGCTCTGGAAGGTGCTGCACCTTTGAAATGGTCAGTTATTATTTTACAGGTGAACAGGGGAACTGAAATATTAGCAGAGCCCAACATCCTGAAATACCAGCAAAGGATTCCTGTTGTTTGCATTAACACCTAAATTCACCTTCTGAACTTCTGTTGGGCAGAGATCAGGCACTTGCAGGGTATGATTCACCTCAGCCCAAAGCCAACATCCCAGGTACATCAATTTAATCACACCCTAAACACATCAATTCCTCTCCACTGCCTGTAATAGGAGCTGGCGGTCGCTGCCCCCCATCAGACACCTACTACGAGCACCTAACCCCCGGGCAATGCAAATCCTGCCCAAAGGGCCTGTAAACTGCCTGGGGCTGAGCAACCAAAGGGCTGGCCCAGGCAGGTCCTGTCCTCCGCTCCCTGGGGCTAAAGCAGGCCAGGAGGGCAGAGGAGGAGACAGTGACTGCCAGGGAAATCACAGCCAGCAGCCCGACACCACTGTCGTCTGTCAACAGCTCTGTCAGGAAATGTCACTCTGACAAAGATGTGGGTTTTTCTACCAAGTCACTCTATCATTCCCAGGTTTTGGGGTTTTTTTTCCAGAAGTGAAAAACAGTTTGGTATTTTTATACTGTTTGTATTTTTCGTAACTTGTCACCGGTGCCAAGAGTGTCACAAAGGAAGGTGATATAGAAATGACGCAAAATGAGGTCCAAGCTCATTTCCAGGCAACTCTTCTGGCACATTCAGACTTTTTTCTACTTTGAATAAAATAAGGAATTGCAGAGTGCTACAACTTGCCAATTCCATGCTTTAGCCAGATCTATCAGATATCCCAGGTGGGGACAGACCTTTTGAGTTCATTCACTTCCCAGCACTGAAACACAGCACGATCAGCAAACACAGACCTAAGCTTTCATGCACAGCCCAGCATGCCACGCTGTGCCACCCTGCACCCAACCAAACCAAGACCCAGCAGTGCCCATTAGCAGTGCACATCGCTCTTATTTGTCGGGTGAGCTTTCTGTAACAACATTTCTCCTTGGAAAGTCACGCCATCCTAGGGTGACCGCACAGCAATTAAACAGTGCCTTTTGTGTTCACCAGTTTCTTAATACTGGGGTGCCACAGAAGTAACATTATCCTGTCTTTGTTCCTTTTCCCAAAGAGGCTTTACTAGTACAAAACAAGTAATTAACGTCACACTGTTAACGATCTATCGCTGTGAGTCTGACTGGAATGCGCAAACAGAACGTGTTTAGCATTGCAGGTGCAGATCCAAGGACAAAAATAAAGTGGGAGAAACCCTTTATGCCTCCTCCTCTTTTCTCGCTCTCGCACTTGCACTCCACAAAATAAAACCCTTTTGACTATACAGATACTCTTCCTAAGCATTTACTCTGTCCAGCCACCACCAACCATTTAGGTAACTGAACACAGCGTGAGCTTTCACCTCTCCTCAGAAAAGCTTTAGACTCACATTCCTGAATGTATTTATTTGGACACCAACAACAGCAACTGCAGCAGAATCCCCCAGCTCCGTGAGCGCTGGGCAGGAGTCAGATGAGCTACACAGGCTTTCTAAAGCAAAAAGCAGTTTGTTCATACTAGTATATGGGTACCAGCACCTGGACAGGCTACCCACCATCTACATAGGTGGTGGGAAGAGAGGTAACAGGGATATCGTCTCCCCAGGGGGTACAATGCTAGTTACTGGCCTTCAACTAGACTTAGTACCACCGATCACCACCTTGAATGAAGATGCACGCACAAAAGAAAAGCCTAAAACGGTATCTTTAGCTCTTGCTTCACATTTCTTAGGAAGCACAAAGGCTTTCCCTGATCTTGCAGTGACTGGTCCTACGTTATTTCCCTTTCTAGGAGGAGATGAAAGACTCCAATAAACAGGAAAGCACTACAGAAATAAAAATAAACCAAAAACTTTGGAATGTCTACATTTCTTTTCTTTTTTTTCCCCAAAATTCCTTCTGCCTGTTCTTCAGTTTCGTGTCTTACTTGGAAAATCAAAATGAGAAGCAGGAGAGCAACCGTTCACTAAAAATTCAGTATTGAAGCTGCTGCGAGAAATGAAAATCACCAGGGCAAAAAAGGAGGAGGAAGAAAAACCCAACAGTCTAAAGCCACCCTGGCAAATTACCTTTGGGCGTTTCCATTCAACTTTCCCTCGTGGTGGCGATTGATAGAAAAGGGACTCATCCGAGGCTGGAAACTCAGGATCTTCAAAGAGCCGTCTCTGCTGGATACACTGCCCTTTCAGCTCGTGGTACTTCTGATCTCTGAAGAGCCGCACTGATGAAGACATATCCTTCTGTCTAGATAAGGTAAATATTGGCCTATGCAAATTATGAAAGCTCTTTAAAGCTCACAGATGATGCCACGCATTGATCTTTAACAACAGAGCACGTAGCTTGTTCTACGCAAAATTAATTACCAATTTATTATAAAAAAAATATTATAAACTAGATTATGGTAAGTAGTAGACTAGAAAACTATAAACCCCAAGAAGCTCCTAGACATTAGGATGGTATTTTCGGCCAAATGGAACTCTTATCAGGAAAGACATTAGAGAATCCAGACCAGGCACAAAATCAGAGTTTTGCTTTGTCTGACTGGAAAGCTAACAGAGCGGGGCTTGGCTCTCAGTCTGTACCATGTGTGAAGGGCTAGGCCATCCTTCTGTCCTGAATTCTCCTGAGCACTAAAGCTCTAATTAACTACTCCAACTCTTATGCCTAAAAAAACCAAAACCAGTTTTGCACAGTTCTCCATCTTAATTTAAGTGACAACACTTTGGCTGATATTACTGTCTTTGAACATCATGTTATACTTTAGGGAACTGAATTCCACGAAATAGCAAATATTTGCAAATAATTGATGAGAATTAAAAAAAAAACCCAAACAATGCACCAAACCACACAACAACAAAAAAAAAACCAAGCCCAAACATATTGTTCTCAGGCCTCAGTTCCCAGAATCATGACTATCTAACCTGGCAAGTTTACAGTCACAGAGCTCAAATAAAATCATAGAATGTCTTAGGTTGAAAAGGGCCTTAGAGATCATCTAATCCAACTTCCTTGCCTTAAATAGACCAGGTTGCTCAAGGCCTCATCCAACCCGGTCTTGAACATCTCCAGGGAGGGGCATCCACAACCTCTCTGGGCAATCTAGTCCAGAGTCTTGCCCTCCTCATACTGAAGAATTTTTTCCTAAGATCCAGTCTAAACCTATTCTCTTTCAATTTAAATCCATTTCCCCTTGTCCTATCACTGGAAACTCTTGTAAAAAGTCCCCCTAAAAACATTCTACAAATCAGAAATCAACTACAGGAACCATCCAGGATAGTTTGAAGTCGACAGGGTGTGAGGGATGCTACCTCTCTTTCAAGAGCGGGAGTAGAAAGAGTATTTGAACTTACTCTGGGAGCGCTCCTGTGCTTCAATTCTTCTCCTCTTCCTTCCCGCCACGGGTTAAAGATGAATCACCCTTGAGTTATCTACAGCAATAAAGACAAATGCAGATTGTCCTGATGGCAGATCACAAGAAACAAACAACATACCAGCAGCAGAGCATGGCATCACATTGTCCTAGCACCCCACTTGCTGAGTCCTATTGAAATGATCTCACCTTGTGCTCCTTGAGCGACTCGCAGCACAAATCGGATGAGATTGCACAAATCTGCAGAAAACTACACCAAGGTAGGCATGAGACTTCACGGGCAAGGAAGTGAGCACAACCAGAGAAATATGGAAATGAGGAAGGCATGGAAATGTCAAATTTATCACGGAATTTGGTCTTGTAGAGTGAAAGCTACTGTGGCCCAAATAGTCTAGGAATGGTTTTAACAGCCTCCTCTTCTCTCTCTTCCCTCACCCCAAAATAAACTAGATGGTCCTTCAAAGATGAGATATGCTGCTTTAAAGACTTTGCCCAAGGGAATGAGGAAAGTATTCAGGTGTGTTTTTCTACCTTGTGGCCTTTCTTAAACCCATTCTGAAGCCTCCTACCCTTAGTGACTGTGTTACCCAGCTTCAGTAACACAAAACTACACTTAAATGAACTGTTCAAAACCAAACTGCCTCACAGATACTATGTCATTTTTAGCAATTTCCTTTTTCTCAAGGGTTTTCTTGTTAATTACCTCCTTCAAAAAAAAAAAAAAGTCGCAAGGCATCTTACTTTGCAGATGGCAAAAAACCCCACTTGCTTCCCCCCACAAATCAGTTCTTCAGATTCAAGTGCAGAACAACTTGTCAATTATACAAAGACAGCATCATAGAATGTATTAGATAGCTCAGGGACAAAAAAAAAACCAATTAAGTACTTCAGCTAATTTGGGTGGGATATAGATAATTTCATGATAACTGGCATTCTTGCTTATTAAAAATTCCCCACCTGCTAGCTAACACTAAACAGAGGCTATCTGCAAGATATGCTTGTGCTGCTGCCTAATTCATAGAGATCGGTTTTTAATGACCTCATTCCCCCACCCTTTTTCCCCTGCTATCTGCTGGATGGGAATGTGAGTCCTTCCAGGACTAACACCCCGTTACACAACGGCCAGTCTCGTAGCAATGCATGGAACGCGGTCGTGAAGCACAGCGCACGAAATCGAGCTGCTCCCTGCCTCACGCCGGGCTGCACAGGGCAGCGCTTTTCAAGAGCAACGCTAACGAGGAGGAGGCTTCTCCTACCAAGCTGTGAACCTGCACCTCTCCAGCTCCCTGTGCCATCCCAAGGAAACGATGGAGCGCACGTCTCCAAACTCGGGCTCCTGGGGCTGCCCAGCCTGGCCGCGAGCTGCTTTCCATCTGCCCAGGAGACACAGAGCTCTGGATCTCAAGTCCCATCACCATCTGGTGAACTGCTAGGAACCCACTTGCGCTGAAACCCAAACGCATCCCTTTTGAAACACAACAGAAGTCTCTTCTTCTTGTTGGAAAGTCCACGGTAAAGAAAGTAAATGCAGTTTTATACGATAGGCTGGTGGTTTGAGCACTGAGGATGGAGGACCCTCCCCTCTCAAGGTGCTCACCTACCTGGACACAGCCTAACCTGGCTGAGACAGGCAGCGGGCACCTGGCTCCCACTCGAAGGGTTAATTTTTTGAAGCAGCTCCTGGATTTTGACCCTCAGCTGAACACTGAAACTCCCAAACAAAGAACTGCACTCCCTCTCCTCCTTTCTCGAGACCACAGCACACGGTAGCACATCTTCCCCTGCTCTGCACCCAACAGATTTACCTCTGGTTCGGCTGTGGGGAGGACACCCTGAGCACAGCTCGGCAGCCACTCTGTCCCCGCGCTGCCATGTGATACAGAGCGAGCTGCGCTCAGCCGAGCCAGGGCCAAGAGGCACAGTCCTAAAAAAAACCACGTGCGCCAGTTTGGAGACCCTCTGCTGCTCTGCAGAGAAAAAGGGACCACTCCAGGGGAGGGACAGAAGAGAGAGGGAGCAAGTTAAAACAAACCCTCTACAGGTCAGCCATTCTTATTTTTTTTTTTTTTCCAGCCTCTGAGCTGAGCTCCCCAGCACTTCACCTCTCCAGGCAACACAGCAGCTCCACAGCTGACTCCAAAGTTTCTACTACACTGTGGCAACCCCCCTTCATATCAGCAGGAGTACAGGAGGTCCCACATCTCTCAGCTTTCTACCACTGAGCTTTAAAGTCTCTCTCTGACCCTCTCTTTTTCCAGCAAGATTCCTGTCTTGATCCGAAGAAGGATTTCAGCACAACAGCGAAGACAAGCCAGTGCAGGTCCCCTTTTCAATCAGGCTCTACTCACTGAGTCCTCTCCTTCACCTGACAACAGAAGAATTTAATTTTTACTTACAGTTAATACTCAGAAATGCTTCCCACTGTCAGAGCCAGCTCGAGTACACAGTGGTAAATACCAGCTCCTGGTGTACCAGCTGTTTTAAATTAAAGAGACACTCACTTGAAATCCAGTTTTTCACAAAAGCATTAAGATGAGCCTTAAGCATTATTTCCATGACCCAGCAGTATTTCTTTACACTCACATTTTCCTAAACGTTCTTAAACTTTCTCTTCCCCAGCTGCTACACAGAAGAGCCACAACAAACAAGACTAAGTCTCCAGACAAGCTAGTCAGGGAAAATTATACCCTCACTACCATAAAACGAATGCAATAAGCACCCAAAACCTAACAGAAGTCATCTTTCCTCAGCCCATTTTTGTTACTTCGTGTAACACTAAAAGGGGCAAATGGTGCTGTGCGTGGAAATTCCTTTGAGCCCTGCAACTGGCAGAGAAAAGTCGGGTGCGCGATTAAATTTACAGGCTACAACATGCCAAGGCTCTTCCTTGAAGAGAGTCTCATCCAGAGCAGAGGGTTCGCTGCAGCTGCTTGGCAGCGGTCGCCTTTGGGACGGAAAGCGGTGGTTTTCGTTAAGGCAAACGCAGCTGCGTGCCGTCCCTGCGCCGCTCCTGCTGGGGTAGGAGCGGGAGGGATGCTTCCCACACAAGCCAGCTCAGTGCCAAGGGGGGCAGTTGGCTTCACAGCCGCAGTAACTCCCCTCTCTGACTTTTTACTCTGCGGGTCACGTAGTTACACATTCTTCTAACATTTCTAGGCAGTATTCAAGGCCACAGTTGAACACAGCTTTGAGAATGAAGCTGCTTCTTCCAGCAAGTGGGTCCTCGGATGAAACTGCCCACGCTCAGGCCCAGCCCAGACTCAGGACACCGTTCCTGCTGCTCCTGGAGCTCCCATCTGGGGAGACCACAGAGGGATGTCAAAAAGGACACACGCTGTGTGTCATGCTCTTGGGGAGCATTCCAATTTTAAGATCATTATCTGTTTTCAGGTACTAAGCTTGCTTGTGTTCCGTGCAAACAGTGGCCTTAACAATAATAACCACCGGCTCCTGGTTTTTGCATTTGTCTTTCGTCACTGCAGTTGCGTGCCTGACCTGACAACATAGAAAAACCTCCCAGCTCTAAAGTCTGTTCTTCCAATACTGACTTATCACCAAACCTCAAAGCCACCGTTCAGACGGCAACAGCAAAGCAGGGACTCAAGTATTTAACTGTTTGCAAGTGCAGTTTAGTACCTTGGCAAACATCTCTTCCTCCAAACTCATAGCTTGCTTCAGAGCAATCGAATCAGGGAGTGCTTCCAAAAAAGCAGCCCTGCAGCCACAAGCTTTAAATTACTCTGAACTGGTTTTCTGTGAAACTAATTAAAGGCGCTTTTAGAGCTCCAGCTGGAAAAGGTTATTGCCTTCTCTTCCTCCGCAGGACAATCACAGGTCCTTACAAAGCAGTGACTTTGCAAATTT